CCCCCCCCCCCCAGCCGTCTGGAGATAGCAGTGAAGCGAAGAAGACAGATGCCAGCGAAAAAGACGGCCGTCTCCTGGAACCCTCGCCGGCAGGATCAGCGCAGGAACCCAGACCTGTGATCTGTGTTCCCCCATTCCCTCCATCTCCCTCTTTTCCTATTAAGAAATGCAAAGCATATTATATTGCTCTCCATGACTTGCTCTGTACTTAGCCAGTTATCATGTGTTCAATTAGTGCATTGTAGGTAGTTAATAAATGCTTGAACTTGGAGACTTGTTGTCCGCTCCAATTGGGGATTTGTGAATCTGAGTCACTTGTCCCCCTCGTCTGAGTGGGATGTGACACCATCCCACCCCTCGCTGGAGGCACAGAGCTGGGTGCTTCCTGGGGCTGTGACCCAGTAGGTGGACGATGGCTCCAGCAGACGGCTCCAGTGGGCTGCCAGGCCGGGACACACGAGGACCAGGGGTCCGCTGTGGCCCCTTCCTTTGTCCCCCACCATTGAGCACCCCGGGAAGGTGCTGCAGAGGGGGACACCCAGGACAGGTGAGCATCATGACTATCCTGTGAGAGGGAGTGACAGCGCTGGGGCTTGCATGTTTCTCTGTCTTCAGCTCTCTTTTCATCACTGTAAATTCCATTACTTTGAATTCAGTCAAAGCCTTCAGGTTTTTGGGTTTTTTCCAAGCCAGTTATAAAAAGGACATTAGAATTACAATTCTGGTGCTAACAATAGCATTACTCAAAGCTGCTGGCCAGAAGTAGGGAGCTCTGGGTAGAATAAAGACCTAAACTAAAATGTCAATAATAACTTCTTTCTTCCCCTCCCTGTCTTCCAGCCTGCACAATCTGCTTGGGTCTCTCTATCTTAATGGGCATTAAAATGGTTTTGAATTAGATCTACAGAAAATTGAAAGTTTTTTCTCTCAGAAGCTTAGTCTGTTTTTTAAAGGCCAGTGATCATATTTTGGTTTTGTATAAGAGCATCTTTGATCTCAAAGGCTCTCAGCTCGTAGATGTAATAATGGCTCATTACCAGCAATTCGCTGCTGTCAAAATGCAGCTGCAGCTGGAGGGGGACAGGCACCATGCAGCAGCACCCAACGTGCCAGGAGAAATGTTAGGGAGATGTTTGCTGGGGGGTGCTTGGTGCTGTCCCCCTACAGCCCTACATGGCTCTGCTGACAGACCCTTGCTCGCAGGGAGCCGGGCTGGCAGGTCAACCTCCACCCGACTGGTGCTGGGTTTGCAGCCAGCTGCTTTCAGCTCAATTTGGTCCCTAAAAGTATGGGATGAAAGAGCTCCAGCAGCACAACCTCAGCTCCAGGGGTGCTGTTCAGAGGGTCCCCAGGGACACCTCAGGTGACAGCAGCGTCTTGCTGAGATGATAATGCAGCCAGTAACCTGGCAATGCACAATGGGTTTTCTCATCTATATGACCAACCCACATGGCATCGCCGCTGCTAAAAATTCTCTCCACAGGTGCTGTGTGGGAACGGGGTCATGCTGGCTGCCAGAAACCTGCTGCTTGCTCACTGCTGGGAAGACACAGCAATTAGACTTTCCAGGAAAGTCCGTTACCATGGCAGGGCACTGGGAGTAGATGGTCATTTACCTCATCCACAAATCAAATGGGATTTAGTCTGGAGGGGTTATATGGGCCCAACAGTTTCAATTACACCTCCCGCCTGCGTTGTGTCTTGATGGTGCAAAGCCGAGCACTCATGAGCAACGTGATGCCCTGTGGCAGCACCCAGGGTCCAAGGGGTTGTTTGTAGGGGCCCTGGGGATGAATGACTTCATGGGGAGTGTGGTTGGGGCTAAGTTGGGGCTCGCACTTGGGTGTAAGAGGAGACAAAGGGTCTGCCCTCCTGCTCCTGGGAGAGAAGGCAGCAGAGGCTGGAAGGGTGCAGAGCAAATCAGCCCCGTGTCCCCATCAGCTCCCACAGGGTTGCACCATCCCTGCTCATCTCAGCCACACTGGGACGGGCGGAGTCCTCAGTGCCCCGGTGAGGTCAGGGCAGGGTCTGCCTCAGTGCTCCCTGTGCTGCAGGGGCTGCTGCTCTGCACAGACAAGACATTTTTGTAGAGCAGGCCTGTGAAGCCCACAGCAGCGGTTTGATGGCTGGCCTGAGGAAGGTCTGCAAAGAATCCAGTTCTCTTAGGTGTCCCTAGACCATCCTCCACCAATGAGTCCTTAATGACCTGCAGCAACCACCTTTGCTCACCCCAGCACCAAGCACCCCTCCTGAGCACCCAGTCCTAGTGAGGGGTGAACAGGGCCAGAGAAGCCATCAAAAGCACCCTACCAGCTGCAGCCTGGGGGCTGCATGAGACCTGGGGGGGCACAGGAGCTGCGCAGGGTGTCAGGGCACTAAAAGGCTCCAGATCAGCCTGACCTGGAGCCCCAGCCCATGGGCCTGGGAAGCCCATTTAAGCTCTGCCAGGGCCATCACTGTCTGAGTTATATTAAGGAGCGTTGGTCTCCAGTGTTGCTCATCCAGACCTTAACGCATGGACAAATTTCCCAGCTTGATCTGTCTTATCGCTGCAGACCTACCAGAATATCACCAGGCTGTGCCTCACCCTGATTATGCTCACTGATCCTGAACTGCAGGTTGATGTTTCTGGCTTGATTTTAGATCCGCCTCCATTGTAGGGAACTTTTCTGGTGGTCTGGACTCCTGTTTGAACATCTCTGGATCTGCCATGCTTGGGAGAAGAGGGATGGGGCCCTTGCTGATGAGACTGCCCTGTAGCTGTGTGTCTTCAGACTTCCTGGATCTTTGGGAGCCTTGGCCCTTGCTGTGCCCTGACGGGTGGTGGTGAGGGGGTGCACAAAGGACTACAGGGGAAAATACAGTGTTGGGAGAGAGGGTCTATGGGGTGTAGGTGTTATAGGGTGGTGTTTGCCGGGATGGGGTAGGACAACCTCCTCTGCAGTGCTCCTTGCAGTGCTTGCCAATGCTTCTTCAGTGCGAGGTTGGTGGAGCTGCTGGTGCCCACAGCTGGGGTGCAGAGCATAGAGGAGGGAGGTGACACGTTAAGCTGTGCAGGAGCAGTTGAGCTGTGAAGCTGCAGCTGATTTTTCAGGCACTGCTGGTGGCAGAATGCAGACTTTGCATTTCTGAGTGCAGGACCAGATTCCTCACTGGTATCTGTCTCTGTTGTGCTGCCTTTTGAAACATCACTGTGCATCTGTTTGGTTAAAGGCCGCTACAAAGCAGCTTTGGCG